CAGGGGTCCCCCCCCCTGGGGGCAGGCCGCTGTGACAGGTGCGTGTCCCACAGCGCCCAGCGAGAGGACGATGCGGGTCGTGTGGCTCTCCCTGCTCTGCGCCGTGGGGCTCAGTGACTTCGGATCCTGCTGGTATTTTACGGACAGCAAAGGTGTACCTGATGCAGGTGAGACTTAGGGGCACAGACGCAGGAGGGGGAAGTTAACGATGGAGGCGCCCGTCCAGCCCACCCTCTGGGCTCACATCCGGGGCTGCCCCTCGGCTCCCCTCTGCAAGGCAGGGCCCCTGCCGCCCCTTCCCAGAGCCTTGGTGTTCACAAGGCCCCTGGCCCTGCCGATGGGGAGCTCATCCCCAATGACCCACTTGCGCCCAGGCCGTGTCCCCTGCCTGCCCAGCTCCATCCCAGGGGCAACCAAGAGCCAGGAAGTCCTAGCTGCCAGAGGTCAGCAGGGCAGTGAGCTGGGGTTGGGGGCAGGGAGAAGGGGGTACAGGGAGAGGGAAGAGCAGGGGCACAGGGTTGGGGTGGGGGGCCCTTAGCAGGATTCATGCTGGGACTGTCCCTGTAGCCTAGAAATCGCCCCCTGGATCGGAGAAGGGCCCATCTACCCCGGTGTCAGGTCTCTAGCAGCCAACAGGGCCAGGTGCTCCACGGGGGAGGTCTGAGGCACCCCCTACACTCTCATAGTTTTGAGGTTTTATTATATTCAAAGTTTTACAAACAAAATTGTACTTGGGAATATTTAAGAAAGGTATGATTTAAATAGGCAAATGCAGGGACATTTCAAGTTAAGGTTACTTGTTCTGTTGTGCCAACCATTCATGAGGTACTAGATGGAGCTTCAAGCAATGAATGATGTTGCTGTGTACCATATAAAAAACGTATTTCTGTGGATTAATTTGTGCTTTCCAATCTCCTCGTATCTTGGGAGAGCACCTGCTATTTTGTAAATCTAAAATCAAGAATTGATAAGTATATATTTTTTCTTCCAATAACAAAGTCTCAGTAATAGAAATGTAGCCGTGTTAGTCTGGGGTAGCTGAAGCAAAATGCAGGACAATGT